GCAATTAATTGTATTTCACTACGTTTCGCAAATACTGTGGTGGCCTCTCCATTTTTGAAAACAATTTCGTATCAAGATCCTCATTAATGGAATTTCAACTGAGTGTTTTCTTATCTCTTACCAACTTTGTCATAACATTCTTCTTTGTTAATGTTTTCATTTGCACTGCCTGCAGAGGCACATGTCTGAATAATCTTTCAGTGTGCTTCAAATCCTAGCTTAACTAACCTTAAACCAAAAAAAAAATGTTGAAGGAAAAACAGATGATCTGATGACATGGGCTCCGCAGTCGGGTTGGCTACTGCGAAGGATTAGCGTAGTATTCTAAATTCCACAGGACACCGCATTCTCTAGTCTAAATAATAAACGCGCTTTGATCTGTCAGGGGTGGACTGAGTGAAATCTGAGCGTCGGCAGTTAGGCAAAGGAAAAACGCAAGTTTAAGCAAATTTTGTTTTTGGGAGGTATTGTGCCCCAATCATCGTATAGACACTAACTGATCATACGTCGCAAATCAATTGAGCTGCTGATTTCAATACAGAAACTGTAGCGAGATGTGTGTTCGAAGAAGAATTGAAGGTGTAACTTCTTAGTGTAAGTAGCTCATTCAGTTTAGAGAGCCTTCACCTCTTTTTATCGAATATGTTTAAGAGTCTGTTAATTTAGTCTCTTTTCGAAAAAGAAGGATTTTTCTTAGAACAAATTGGATGCAAGAAATGGGATAATAGAATGAGAAGCTCTCTTTAAACGCTGTAAACAACTTTGTTTTCTAAAAATATTTGTTTTTCACCGATCAGCTCCGGTACTTCTCATTCACTCGTCAGTTACTCAGCGACATAGTCGCCTCAGCACTCTCTCACTCGCGATACTCGACTACTCGCTTACCTCTGCCAAAACTCAGAGGATTAGAAGGATAAGCTCTTCCACACATGCATGGCTGCAGTCGGAATGGTCGAAGTCGTCGAGAAGCCGATTGCTGCGAAAGAACAAGAGAAGAAGGTGGAAAGAGATCGATTACCAGCTGTGAACGATGAAATTCAAGCAGACGATAGAAAGTATAAGTTAAAACAGAAACTAGGAGATGGCGGTTATGGTATCGTCTTCCTCAGTGAAGATGGTGAAAAGTGGGTCTTCT